TGGAAAGCTGAGATTAACAGGAAAATCGGTCTCCGCCATGGTGTGCAGATGTGGCCACAACTGTCTTAGTTTATTCAGCAAACATTTGTTCAGGGCCTACTGGATGCCAAACAGTCCACTGGCCACTGCGATTAGAGGGATAAATTGTACCTGGCACAGTTGAGGACCTTGCAGCTGATGGGGAGAGGCAGATGTGACAGAGTGTTCTGAGAGATGAAGGTGTGTGGGGGGGCATAGGGAAATGGGGGGAGGTCTTACTGGCCACAACCTCACAGGCTGTTCTGACATGAGGAGATATGCAGTGTAGACCATGGTGACAGGGGAGGGTGTAAGTAAGACACACAGTGGCACAGGATTCTGGAGTTTGATATAAACGGGTCCCGGATGCAACATGAGGAAAGGAGCCAATTAGAAAAGGAGCAGTTTCTGTCAGAATACTGACAAAAGATGCATGTGTGGAGACCTCGGGAATCATACTGACAGGACAAACGCTTAGTGGTCCTTTGGTTACCAGGTACAGGTTCTGTGAGACTTCATGCAAAGTGTCACCACCACTGGTACCAATAACAGCAGTCAACAAAGATCATGTGTGGTGCCTTTCTGTTAAATGCTTTTCAGTCCCCACGTAATTTAACAGTGACAAGCTCGGCCTGATAAGGAACTGTTTTGTTTGTTTGTTTTTCCGTTTGCTTTGTTTGTTTTTCACTTGACAGATAAAGCAATCAAAACTTTGGTCTAGAAGTTCACTTGCAAAATCTTAGGGCCAGTATTTGCACCCAAATCTAAGTGACCACACAACTAAGATTCTTTTTGATCCCCACGTCACCAGCTTCCTAGATTTTATAGTTTATGTCCCTTCAGTGAAATCTAGGCTAATGCCTACATCTCTTATGTGTGCTTCAGGCTCTGATGGGTCCCAGTGCTTTTCCTCCTATTAGCCAGAAGTACAGTTTGCCGAGAGGGGCACCCTGACAGGGTGTTCTTTATTATCATCGTCATTTAATAAAATGCTTATGCCCCAAAGCATTCGTGTCTGGAGGAAGTGTGAGAAGCAATGATGGGAGAATATTCTAGGAAGACTGAGACAAGAGTTCCACAAAATTAGGTGAGAGAACAGGTAACAGATAACTCGACAAAAATCTAGAGGAATTTTACAACTCTCTTCCCTGGCAGAAGTAATTTTCATTCTCTTTAAGGACACTGAAATAATTTTTAGTGATCACATATTCTGGCTGTGGTCTTTGTAAGAAAGAAAGCATGAAACACCCACCACTCAGCAGGCCCCTAAACCAGGTGGAGATTTGTCACCGTAGTGAACACGTCTAATACTTAAGAGAAAATAAATAGTATATTAGATTTCCAGTGATCCCTCTCTCATAATCTCCTACTATTGCTCCTGCTTCTCTGCCCTGTCCTTCCAAAGGGTCCTTTGTGTGTGTGTGTGTGTGTGTGTGTGTGTGCATGAGCACGCGCATGCTTGCTCAGGATGAGTACACTATGGGAAAAACAAAGACCGGAACTTCGGGTTCCAGCAGATACACGTGCATGACTTCAAAATGAACTGACTGATAATCAAAGCTGTGGATGCTGTATCTCAACACAGCAGGGACACACAAAAACCTTGACATTTGAGGAAATGTTAAAGAAGCATAGTCTTGGTGTGTTTCCCCTACAGAGTTTTAGTTTCGGTAGCTTGGTGATGGCATAGCACAGAAGAAAGAGTGAGGGTTCCAGGGGTTTGTGAGATACAGTTTTACAGCTTAACTAATGGTCATTGGGTGAAATCTCTGAGTCTCTTCCCCCACATTAGGAGCGTATATTCAGACACATGTCATCTAGTTGTTGAGCGCATATTGCTGGGCAAACATGAAGTTTCTAAAGTAGGGTTCTTTACTCCCCTACCTTTTAATGGGACCATTAAAAAGAAAAGGTATTAATGAACAGGGTAAACAACACAGAAAGGGATGGTCACTATTTGTCAGGTTTTTGCCCTCAGAACTGTCCATGCCACATCTGAAATAGATTACACAGTGAGATGAAGAATGCCAGGAATCCAGTTGTAAAGATTTTAAATCTGGTCAGTAGGAAGGAAGCTGGCTCTCAGGGAGATAGGTAGCGGCTGCAAGTTTTTGTGGAGCTTTTTTGAGGGGGAGGAGGGAGCCCTGTATGACATTGTCTGTCTTTCTCTACAAATGGCAGATTTGACCTCACTTTGAGGTTTACAACATGTTGCTAACCTTTTGTTCCGTATCATTTATTTTATTTGCAGGGTAACCATAAAAATAATTAAGATTTTCAATAAAGATAAAGGAGTCGGGAGATGTATTACTCTTCATCTACTAAGCATAGCTTTCCCAGTCCAGATGCTTATGGTATTCTGAAGCAGCTGCATCCTTTATTTAAAGCTCCTGACAGTAGGAATTGGAAATGGTTGGTGATAGAGAACGATTTCACAGAATTCTATAAGGCCCACATTCTTCAGGGCTTAAAACAAAAAAGACTCAAGGCAGTAAAGGGGACACAAGACAGTGGAAGACATACTTTGTCTTCGGGATGCTAATAACCTGATTGGAAGGAGGAGTACTAGTAAATGGAAAGATGAAAGCAGTTCCAATTTCAGCAGAGTTGGAAGTGATTCAGATTTATGGAAGAACGGAAGCTGGGAAAATAAAAAGTAAAAGAATCTAGAATTCTTAACAACATATATTTGCATAGGTAGTTGTGATAAAGTGTGTTGTAGACAAGGCCAGAACTATTGTTAGATGTAAGAATTGCTTCCACTTTTGATTCTGATGAAAAGACTCTGCAAGAATGCTACCTGAACTAGCAGCTACCTAAAACCAGCGAGCTACATTGTTCCACTAGAAGGGTCAATGATACTTGGAATGGCATTCAAGTTGACCCAAGACTGCCTTTTCTTGTGACATCATAACATCACACTATAATCTACAAAGTTCATGGTCAAGAAACATGAAATTGAATTAAAAAGAAAAGAATCTCTAGAGAAAATTCATAATAGTTTAAGATTATGATTTTTGCACTGGCCATTTATTTATACAGTTGTCTCGAGGCTCATACAGCATGTGACCTGGGCTGGTGGGCACGGGTTAGACATGCCTTTTGGACTGGTGTCTAAAGAATCCTAGATTTATAGGTGATAATCTGCCAGTTTTGTTCAAAATGAATGATTTAATACCAACTTCTTTTCCTTCCAGTCAAGATGTCTTTAATTTTACTTGAATGAGAAAGCTGGGGAAGGGGATCCAACTTTCCTGTGGCCAGTTTGAAAATGACTGTTCAGCATGAACGATCCCAACCTTATTTCTGTAGACAAATGCCTCGAGGTTGTGGTCTCCCTGCTAACAGTCCCTGTGTGAGGAAATAATGTCCAACAGGTGCCATTGTCAGTGGCCCACAGGCTTCTTAGGAGACGCTGTCCAATTCTCTGCTGTAGAGCTAAGGGCACGCTGAGGCACTAGGAAAGAAATCAGAGCACACCCCGGAGTTCAGAGAGAAAAATTTGTACGGTTGGCAAAATGCAAGATGTTTTTATTTGGAAAAGAGAAGTCTTAAGGCAATTGAGTCCTGGCCTTCTAGACTAGAAAGGACCACTTGGAGACAAGTGACCAGATTTCCTTCACTACCACAGTGGCAGGGTGAGTACACAGAGGGAAAGCAGCGCTCAGAGCCAAGGCTGGTTAATCAAAGGAGTCCATCACTCCATTGTTTGCGAAGGCTTGCTGGAAGGCAATATGAGTTTGTATCTGCACTTTATGTGTTGAAAAAGCTACTTCCTGAAGGAGCAGGGGTGAATTAAATGAACTTGGTCTTTTTAACTCACAGACTCGGTGATTTATCCTTAAATTACATAAGGTAAAGATGTCAGGCAATTATTTTGAATTATAGCCTCATACCCTGGTGCTGCCAAGAGGAGTTACTTTCCAATAATGTTGAGGAAGTCAGTGACAAAGACACACATTTATTTCAGAGGTCATGAACTCAAATACCTACAGGCTCCTGCTGGCCTTGGAAAGGAGCAAGCTAACAGCAGCACACCAGTTAGCAAAGTTTTGTGAACTAGAAAGTGCATGGCCCATCTAAGCTGGCCACCACAGCAGACATGGGCTCATAATCCAGCTCAGATCCAGCTCTCCAAGAAAAAGCTGGAAATCTAAAAACTTAGGTGATTTTTTTTCCAGACTAACAAGAGAGTTTTCCTGGCATCCTCTGCAGGTATAATACAGCACTTGTGTAGTTAGAAGCCCTGGGCTTGACCTTCACCAGTCCATGTCTCTGTAATTAACAAACAAAACACAACTGATTGAACTCTGGAGTGAGGGGAGTTAATTTGCTAAGGTTTCCAGAGACTTCATTATGGCCTTGCCAGCTCTGTAAATCTTGACCTCTGTCTGATTCCTTCCTCCTTGCCCCTGATAGACGGCTTATTTGCACAGGAAGTAGGAATTTTAGAGCACTACTTGTTTCCTAGGCATTGAGATAGCTCAGAAGGTAAAAATGTCTGCCACGAGGCCTGATGACTCATGTCCAATCCCTGGATCCCACATGATGGAAGGAAAAAACGGGCTCTCACAAATTCCTCTTGGACCTCTGTGTATGTACTGTGGCCTGTGTATGCCCCCACACATACACACACACACACACACACACACACACACACACACACATAAATGTAATGAATAAATTAATTATTTCCTTTAGCAACCTGATCCTATTTAGTAAAACTGTCAGATACTCCCAGTGTGAAGCAACTCTCGCTGCTGCTGTTCACTGTTAAATGCACATGTCTTTGTGGTCTACACTTGATAATTTGGATCTCTGCACTAACATTTGTGTTTAACATTAGGTGCATGAGGCATGCTCGATTTAAACATTAACCCTCTCACCATTTGGTGCCATGCTTTTCTCTTATACAAATTGTTTTAATAACAGCTCCATGTAGGATAAGGACAATTGTATTTCTGAAATTCCCTCCCTTTCAGACTGGAGAATATGCCACTGATGAGGAAGAGGATGAGGTCGGGCCCATTCTTCCTGGTGGTGACATGGCTATTGAAGTCTTTGAGCTCCCTGAGAATGAGGACATGTTTTCCCCATCTGACCTGGACACCAGCAAGCTCAGTCACAAGTTCAAAGAGGTGAGCCCTGACCTGCACAAGGTTTGCCTATGCCTGTTCCTTTCATTGTCAAATATCTTTTTATTTGTGGGATGAACTAAGAATCATCAGTTTTCTGATTGAAGCATTTCAACATTTTCTGAGTCTTAAATTTGAGAGTACAATTTTAGCTGATTGTATTGTATTCTACTATCACCAGTTTTAATGTTTGTCACTTGTCACAGTAGCAGCTTTATAACGTAGGGCATCATTTCAGGATGCATTCATGTTCCGTGTATATTTTTTACTTTACAGATGCTCTGGGACCTGATCATGACCTCTTTTCTCTAAGGCAGTTATTTTTCTAAAAAGCTGTTTTTCTTTGTTTTCCTGAAGTAGTTAGATTTCTAATAAGAATGACATGCCCAAAGGGTTCCGTTGAAGAGTTGAGTGAGCAGACATTGGACAGTTAATAGAGCCACCAAGGAATGGTGGCAGCAGGAAGCCATCACCTCCTTTGTCCTAAAGAAGCCATTCCATACCTACAGCTTTGCCAGATGCACCCCTGCTGAAAGTTGCATCTAGTGTAAGGGTGATGGATGCCCTACACTTTCATGCTGTCTTCCCAGACACACCTAGGCAAGTGAGTCTAGGCTATGCTCACCTTGTAACTGAAGAGCTCAGTTTTCTGAAGCACAGTGTTTCCTTTCTGAAGGAAGACCTGGATAGATCCTTAGTGTGCATATAAAGAACCAGGTAGATTTTTTTCCTCCAAGTTTGATGTTACAGGATTCTCTTAATTACCCGTTTTACTGCTTTGACATGACCACAAGCCACCATGACCTTGTCCAGTCTTACTTTGGGCCAGCTCTATGTTTTCCTACTGGATTCTGTGACCATGATTTTTGAACAGACTGTGCCTTCTGTCTTTGCACAGTTCTTGCCAGTTCATTAGCAGTTAAGTACTCACTGAATTACTGGCATCAGGCGTGTACTGAGAATTCATTGTATAGTGTATCTGACTTGATTTCTTCACATAATTGACAGTCTGCTCAGCATGTTTACTAAAGGTACTTTTACTAAAGCCCTCTGGTCAGAAGGCTTCGTCATTTTCCACAGACATTAGCACTGATGACTGATAGCGTAAAGAAGAACCATCTTAACTTTCCTTCTTTTTTAATCATTTTTTTATTTCATGCATTGTACCATATACCTTGATCAGAGCCACCTGAGCTCATCCCTCCCAGTACCCTCAGATACCACCCAGTACTATAACCCTCTCCTACTTTCATGTTGTCTCCTTCGGGGCCTGAGGAAAGCCAGAGAGTCCAATTAGTGCTAGCTGCTGGAGTATTGACAGACCTTGTCTTGGTCGTGAGAAGGTAACCATAGCTGCAGTAGGTCATGAGTGCAGTGGCCATGCCATCTCCAGGTGACCACATTTACAACATTTCTCTGCCTCTTATAGTATTTCTATCCCTTACTCCTCAGTGTTCCCTGAGACTTGTATGTGAGGGGGATACAGTTGCTTCATTTAGGGCTGAGCATCCACAGATTTGTTTTTTTCTCGTCCTGGGGAGTCAAACAAACCTAGGATCATTGAGTATCAGCCAAGTGCTCTGTCACTGAGCTGTGTATCTCTAGCCCAACTTTTCTCTCTTTAAAAGTTACTTTACTCTCAGTTCATCCAAGAAAACGTTTGAGTCATTTTGTTAGTTCCCTCTTATGTTATTTTTTTTTGTTGTAATCAAATTAGTAAGTTGATTTGTGGGAAAATGGCATCTTTCTCATACTTCTGGTTTTTTAATCAGAGTTTATGACTATATGTACTTCAAGTGTTTTCTTTGACCCCTCAAAAGTTGTATATACCCTTTATTGTTGTATAAATGTCCAGGCATAAGCAATGAAAGACATGACTGAAATAGCTAACAGCTGTTATAAGATTATCCTAGCCTCGGTGAGTTTGAGAGTCTTGCTCAGTTTTCAGACATGACAGTGACTGAAATGGCTTTATGAATTCTGAATATAGGAATTTCTGGTCCTGAAATTCTGTCATTATTGAATTTTGTGCAGTGTTTGGAGAAAGTTTTCTATTCATTTGAAATTTCTTATTAATAAATTTTATTCTGTAATAATTTCATATGTGCATATAATGCATTTTGGTCACTTCTGCTTTTCTGGAATCTCTTCCAGTCTTCTTTATTTCTTACAAATATCTTTCCTATACTCACTAATTTGGTTTTGTTTTGTGCCCCATGGGCTTTAACGAGGCCCATGACTCTCCTTTAGAACTAACGAGCCTGGGGTGTTCACCAGCATGTCTATAGCTAGATGCACTGGCTCCCCCTCTCCCAGAATCCCTTGGCTACCAGCAGATCAGCTGTAAGCAGCAGGGTTGGCTAACCCCTTCTTCTTCCATGCTGACTGTGCCGACCTATCCATTTCCAGAAGGCATCTGTGTTATATACAGTCTAACTCCCCTTTATCCATCCCTGTAACCCTGTCACTTCTGGTTTTATGTATTTTAAATTCCTTACTAGCTGCAAGTACAGTGAGGGGTGTTACAGCATCTTGATTTCTTGTGATATTATCCTGTTCTCACATGATACACTTTAACCCAGTTCTATTTTTGGTTAAGAGTAAAACATAGCACTGGGATTCTTTTGCCTTGTCTTTCTTTCATAGTATTTGAATTTCTGTTTAGTTTTATCCATTCCATATACCTGTATTCAAATGTGTTTCCTTTCAGTAGCCGATTTCTTTTTTCTTTTCTTTTTTTCTTTTCTTTTTTCTTTTTTTTTTTTTTTTTTGGTTTCTTGAGACAGGGTTTCTCTGTGGCTTTGGAGGATGTCCTGGAACTAGCTCTTGTAGACCAGGGTAGTCTGGAACTCACATAGATCCACCTGCTGCCTCCCGAGTGCTGTCATTAAAGGCATGCACCACCAACGCCCGGCCAGTAGCCAATTTCTGCACCTTACTCTTAATACATTACAGGAGTCTTCATGTCACTTAATATGTATAGTCCATTTATGTTTACTTTATTCACCTTAATATTAGAAATTTTGCCCTCTTGGCTTGTTTCTTTTTATTTTTCTGCCTGTCATCATAAATACCAAATTTTCTTCCATTGCCTAAAAGATAAGTTTTTATTTTATTTTCCCAGTAGTTTGCCTCAAATTTCAGTCGTTTTCCCTATCAGTATAATATAGAAAGCAGATCTGTATCTTTGCCATCCATCATTAGTAAAATGATGGCTGTAGCACGTTCCCTGTGACCTTTTCTGTTGCCTTTGGTCTGTTGTGTTTCAGGAGCCTCATCTCAAAGGCTCCCTTTCTATGGTCAGCGCCAAAGGTTCCTGTCACATGGCCCAAAATTTAAATTAGCAGTCAGGAGGTCACAGCTTCAGGGTATGGAGCAGGCTAGCCTGATTTACCACCAGGTGTGCATTGCAGGGTTGTGTGTAAAAGGTGAGAATCAATTAAATTACTGTCTCCTTCCTGAATGCTGACATTCCTCAGCTCCATGCCTTCACCTTTGCAACAGCACAACTCCCATGTCTTCTGTTCTCAAGAATTCATTCATTCACAAGCTTTCTCTCTCTCTCTTTCTTTCTCTTTCTCTTTCTTTCTTCTCTTTCTCCCTCCCTTTATTTCTTTCTCTCTTTCTTTCTTTTTTTAAATTAATGAATGGTAGCCTGAAGCACATCTGTGTCTTTACGCAGATGCAAATTGCTTTCAAGAGAGGAAGGATATAGCTTTGTTAGTTTGCTGTGTTGAACTCAAATGAAAGCATTCCCCTACCGAATTCAGCCATGTCTGCGTCTATTTTTTTCCTTTATTAATATTATCATCTACTTTCCTGGGGCATGTTTATTTGTTCATATGCCAGTTTCTTACAACTTATGCTTAGTTTATTGTCATGCTTTACTGTTCTTAACTGAATCTGCCTGGTGCTATGACCCTGCCTGTCTCCTACTCTGTGAGCATTCCCACTGACTTCACTTTAGGACCAATCTGTGTTTTTCACTTTCCCTGTTTTATTTTCATTTCAACTTTAATAACTGGAGCAATGATGTTGAATATGTAACTTTTTAATTAATCTAGCATTTTATTACATCGTCGTCAAGTATTTTTCCAACCAACTTATTTGAAAAATGATGCTTTAATTGTAGACTAATATGGATATTTGTGATTAAATTGATACATTTTAAGTGTTCTGAATCCTTAATCATTTTTCTTGAACCTAATAAGAGGATTTATAGTTAATTATACCTCCATATTATTTTTGTCTACTTTGATATTATATTGGAAGCATATGAAATATAACAATGATTTCCTTTTGTTTTTAGGTTATACTTTGATGTTAATATTTGACAGCCTCTTTTGTTGTAGTATTAAGTGTGTACCTACATCTAACAAAACCAATTACATCATTTTCTTTTATTGGAATTTTAAAAATGCACAATGTTAGAGTCTGTGTCTTTTACTAAGAAAAAATTGTCAGTTGAACTTATTGTAAAAATAAGTATTTGTAAAAAACTCAAGGTATTTGTTACTATTATTAACTCATTTTATGCTCTATATTTCCTTTATATTTGTTGGCTGTTACTACAGGTTATCTTCAGGTTTTTAAAATATATTCTTTTTACATAATTTTAAAAATTAAAAACAAAAATACCATTTGCATTTTCTTATGAACATGTTTGATAAAATCTTGATTTTTTAGAAAAATGAATATTAAAATTTTTATATTTTAAAACATTTCAGGTAGCTTTACAATATATTTGCAAATATTATGCTCTTCTGTTTTTCTTTTAAAAGTATTATTTCCTAATTCTTTGGTTTTTAATTTCTCAGAGAGTGTGTCTCTGAGTAATTAATTAGGTGTCTATGGTGGATATAGTTTTTGTGAGCTTTTCATACCAAGAATTATGTTCTAATTATTGTGACACCATGATAATTGGCTAGGCTTGACATCTTCTTCTTAATCTTTTCTTGTTTGTTTACTGAAAATGTTCTATGGTCAGCTTCATTGCTTTAAGC